CCATCCATGGCCTGATGTTAACGTTGGAACGTGCAAATGTCCCCTACCTGGCGTGCCAACTATTGGTGTTTTGAGTAAACACCAACTAGTAAATTTGTATTTTTTGCGTGTTGGGCCTTGATGGTGTGCTAAAAGACATAAGGTTTATACTGGTTCAGGCAGAATGTCCCTACGTCCAGTTTGCTGCTGCTGCTTGTGTTATTAGCACTGAAAGGTTCATAGTAGGGGGTACAAACGGTCGAGAGAGGGATAGGTCCCAAGTCTCTGATGGAAAGGTTGAAAGTGCGCTGAGAGCTTGGTTGCTGCTCGGCTGTGTGTTATGTGATGCATGGTGTGTAGAATTGATCTGTCCCCTTAGTGGGGTGCCTGGCCCTCCCTTTTATAGATCAAGGGGGAGCATGGATTACAAAATGGGAGAAAGAAGAAGAACCAGGGGCCAAGAAGGTCCTTCAAAGGTGCCAGGTCTTTCTTTTCCTTTGTGCTTGCCCTGCTGACACGGTAGATGGTGCCAGGGATAGCATGTTCGTAGATCCTGATAGGGCCATGCTCTGGCTTCGTTCAGCAAGTGGTCACGTCCCAGGTGGGCAGCACACCAGGGTGCCAAGCCGTGACCCTATGGGGAGCAGATGTCGTAGAGGCCCCACGTTCATTACTATAGATGACATGAGTTTCCTCCTGACTGTAGTGATTGTTGTATGTTTCTGTCAGGATTCGTGTCCGAGGGCAAATGCCGGCGCCCATAACACTGTAGGACAAATGTCGGTGCCCACAACACTGTTTGGGCGCTGACATGCCTGGAGGGGCTTAAAGCGCCCGTCTGGTCATATCCTGATGGTACTTTCCTATAGGTGTGCAGGGTATGGTCCTTGGTATTGCGGTGGACTTGAGTGCCCCGCCTTATCTGCACGCGTAGTTATAAAGGAGTAGCGCATAGACGTCGGGCGAGGCGGAGTCTTCCCCCAGACGTCGGGCGAGGCGAAGTCTTCCCCTGGATGTCAGGTGAGGCGGAGTTTGTCCTTGGACATCGGGCGAGGCAAAGTCCAGCCCCTGGACATCGGGCGAGGCGGAGCCAGCCCTCGGACGTCGGGCGAGGTGGAGCCTGCCCCCAGACACCGGGCGAGGTGGAGCCATCCCTCAGATGTTGGGCGAGACAGAGCCAGCCCTCGTCGTCGGGCGAGGCGGAGTCTATCCCCAGACGTCGGGCAAGGCAGAGTCCAGCCCTCAGGGATCGAGTGAGGCAGAGCCAGCCCTCGAACATCAGGCGAGGTGGAGTCCGCCCCTAGACGTCGGGTGAGGCAGAGTCCAACCCTCGGGGGTCGGGCGAGGTGGAGCCAACCTTCGGTCATTTGGGCAAGAAGTGTAGTTGCGTTCTTATCTGTTCAGAAGCATCAACGTTTGATGGTTATTAGCTCCTCCTCTTTGGGTACCCCAGTATTCGGTCCCCGACACTCTTTATAATGCTTTTTACCCAGGCAAGCCCCGGTGCATAACCCCTATTCTGCACTTTATTTTATGTTTATGCACTAAGTTTAAGGAGTTGAATGAAATCCACGTGCATATATATATCCTTGTCCTATGAGTCTTACAAGTTTGATAGGATCGCATAGATTGCTATGCTATAGGATTCCGGTAGAAGTCAAGTGATCGTCTATCACTCGTGAGAGATAGGAAAACATATTATTGTTCCTATTATCATGTTATTATCACATGAAATATATATGGATAATAATTGGAGACTGGGCGGGACTGTACTTGGATGGACATGGACTGGTTAGGCAACTGAGCGAGGCTCTGGTTGCATTTGTCCCACCTGTGTCGATTGAGGACCGTCCGTTGCTGTGGATGGTAGTCAGATCACAGACTTATTATCCTGAGCACATACTTGCTTTTGGGAGCGGAAAGACTTGTCACTTTCTTGTCATGGGTTCCAGCTCTTTCTGGACCAACATTTAGAGGTGGTTTTTGGGTGGAGGTCCAAGCACCGCACTGAGTCCAGGACTCAGGAATGGGGGCTTGGAGTCCAAGTTTGGACGAAGACCTGGACCCCATGACAGGAGAGTGGCGGGTTGGTCTTGCTTGTGCCTAGGGTACAAGCGAGGCGTGTGTTTCGGGGTATCCAGCTAGGATACATTGATTCATGAATCTCCGTGTGATACGTTACAACTTGGCTATGGTCTAGCACCGTAGTAAGAACTGAAACATGAGAGGTGATAAAATGGTTCTGATTGCTTACCACCTGCTTGAAAGTAGCTTAGGTGCTTATGTAGAATGGTTAGCTAATGAACCGATATTGATTGCTAATAAAAGTTTGAATATAAGGACGCACGTTTAGTAATGCTTTCTATAGATGCAATAACCCACAAGCCAGATGGCCTTGCATATCCTTGGAGTCTTTTCTTTCCTCCTGACGGGTAAGTCTTGTGGAGTACAATTGAGCACTCAGGGTTTGTTCTACCCAATTGCAGGTGACAGAAACATGTGGAGCTGACACATGTGTGGAAACCTCCTGGTGGGCTCAGCAAGGGTTTCCTTTACATGTGGACATAGAGTTTATTTAAAGTTTCCACAAAAATGTTTTTACAATGGAAAAACTTATAACCTGTTATTATGTATGCAACTGATCATCATGTTAATGTTTAACTTGTCATTAAATAATTTTATTTCAGTTAAAACTCTGATAACATGGTTATATTCTGATGTTATAAACAATAAATATTATACTCTGATGTTCCATGAAAAGTGATGTAACAAATGGCTAAAATGTTGTAAGCTTTATTTTCCCATTTATGATCTTGTTGAAAAATGTGGATTTTGGGTTCTCCCATGGGGTGTGCTCAATAAAATTGTTTCAATTAGCTCACTCTTGGGGGTGTTTAGTGTCTAATGAAAGACAAGCACCTCCAAAAGTGAGTTATTTGAGGCGGTTTTGCCACATCTTGCGGTAAAGTTTGGAGCACAGCTTCTGAGGGTGATGGAGTCCTCTAGTGAAAGCGGAGATGGCCTCGCTGTCTAGCCAATTAACGGGTGGCCACATCCAATTCTGGATGTCATTGACCTAGGCCTGAGCTGCTTTGAGCAGCGCTTGGATCTTGAGTACCCCCCACGTTGGTGGGAGTCAAGCCAACTCATGGGTGGCCATAGCCAGATTGGCGCTCGGTGTCTGCTCCACTTACTGGTTGTCCACCATGAGGAACTCTTGTTGGATATTACGGGCGAGAGGCGGCGGGCCACCTCTGGTGGCTTGGGCGGCATTTTCTGCTTCTTCATTGCGACGTCGTTGGCTATCAGTGTTCTTGGCTTCGAGCTCACGGCGCTGGACACTGGTCTCTCCATCGATAGCAACGCTGTCGTGGCTAACCATAAAAAGCTGTCTCCGAAAGCCTAGAGGGAAAGGTGGGCAGTTGCTGGTAGAGCCCTCGAAGTATGGCTCGAGGCTTTCCTCCAGGATTGTATGGAGCGTGTGATCCGGAAGATCTGTTCGGATTTGCACCATGTTTACCATTGGCGCAGGCCGGTCGGCCTCAGGGAAGTCGATCTAATAGAGGTCGTTGACGTGGCTACGCTTGGTGTGGTCGATGAAAAGATGGTGCACGGCATCCCGACAGATCAGACCCACACCCACCAGCCCGAAAGAATAGGGCTTCGGCATGCTCTCCGTCGGGGCGAGGAGTGGTTGGCGTTGAACGGTATGCCCTTCCGGAGTTGCCGTGATCACCAAATCTTCATCTTGCCACCTCTGATGACGTGCACGAGCAGGGTGCTCGGTATTAGTGGCATGGTGACCTTGGAATGCAGGAACTTCGTCGCTCACTCTAGATTGATCTAAGACCGAATCCATGAGTAGCTAGCATTCCGCTAAGCGGTCTGTGACCCGATCGATGGACGCGATCAGATCGTCATTGCTAATGGATCTCCTAACCCAGCGGCGGGGCGTCGGGATCGGAGATGTCGTTGCAAGTGTTAGCGCGATCGGCGTAGGGTGATCCTGCACCGCTTCCATTATCTCCCCGTTGCCGTCGGGGTCGATGATCCAAGTCATGGATCCGACCGTGAAGATCTAGTCCGGCTTGGGAAAGGCCACGGAGCTCGAAAAAGTGACCATCTGGTTGGCCATGGAATCAGCGCGCACACCCCCTATCTGGCGCGCCACTGTCAACAAAATATGGTCGGTAGTCTACCGACGGGCATGCCCACGGTAGTAGATAAATCGATAGAGGTGCACGTAATAGGAACTAGATGGTGACATAAGCGTAGAGACAACGATTTAGACAGGTTCGGACTGTCTGATAGACGTAATATCCTACGTCCTATGTTTTTGATGTATTGTATTGTATATGAGATGAATTCGAGGGGGTTCCTACCCGTCTTATATAGTCTGGAAGGTAGGATTACGAGTCGGTTTAAGTCTAGATCTATTCGGCTATATGGTAAGTATTTACAAGAAATATGATATCTATCATATCCGAATAGATCTTTCTTCGTCGCCAAGATGTCTTTCGATTGTCTTGCGGTGTACGCTGACCAGAGCCGAGCACCGTAGGCCTTAATCTTATGGGCTGGATTTTCCCTGGTCTTACGGCCCATGTCCATTGCCGTGAGTACATGGGATTATACCCCACAGGCGGTGTACGTGTATAGAATCGAGGTCAGTTCAACGTTTTGAGAGTCGAAGGAGACAGTTTTTCAGTTTTAAAATTCAAGGAGAAAATATAAACTACGACGATATAGCTAGGAGATAAAAATGGTTTTCTAGTTTTTTTTTTTTTACTTTCCGTGCTGAAAATCTGCTGGAATTTGGCCCGTTAAGGGCCCGCGAGTTCCCAGTTGTTCGGGCCGATCAGATCTGGTCATCACAGCGGGCCACGCCACCCACCAACTGCATGTACTCCAGTTTATGGAACCCGTTCGCCAGCCCACCTAGCCTGCGCAACCTGCAGCTTTGAGCCGCTTGCTCTCCCGCCGGCCGTCCGCTCGCCGCAGCGCGCCAGAGCCAGCTGACCATGCTCACGGTGTCCCTTCTGGACGCGCAACTCTCCCGCTGCCGCTCCGCGCGCCACCTCCTTCAAATCCACGCGCAGTTCCTCGCGTCGGGCCTCCTCGCTGACGCCTACGCCGCCAGCCGCCTCCTCCTCTTCACCACCTCCGCGACCGCCGCGCGCCTCCTGCCGCAACCGCTCCACCACTCCCTCCAACTCTTCCGGCTCGTGCGCAGCCCCAATGCCTTCACCTGCAACACTCTCCTCAGGGCGGCTCTGCGCCAGGGCTTTCCCCACCTCTGCTTCCCGCTCTACGCCTCCATGCCCTTGGCGCCCGACACCTACACGCACCCGCTCCTCTCCGCCGCCTGCGCCGCCAGAGGGGACGCGAGGGAAGGCCGGCAGGTCCACTCCCACGCCGTCAAGCACGGGTTCGGCGACAACCTGTACCTCAGGAACGCGCTGATGCACATGTACTCTGCGTGCGGCTGCATCGCGGGCGCGCGCAGGGTGTTCGACGCGGGACCCGTGTGGGACGCCGTTTCCTGGAACACGATCCTCGCCACGTACGTGCGGGACGGGGATGTCGAGCAGGCTGTCAGGGTGTTTGCGAGGATGCCAGAGAGGAGCGCTGCGGCAGTGAGCTCGATGGTGGCATTGTTCGCGAGGAGAGGGATGGTAGAGGAGGCGAGGGGGGTGTTTGACGGAGCGGAGTATAGGGATGCGTTCACATGGACAGCTATGATCTCTTGCTTCGAGCGGAATGATCTGTTTGTGGAAGCGTTGGCTGTGTTTTCAGATATGCGTGAAGAGGGGTGGCCTGTGGACGAGGCAGTGATGGTCAGTGTGGTCGCTGCTTGCGCTAAGTCAGAGGTGATTCAGAACGGAGAGGTGTGCCATGGGCTGGTTGTCAGAGCTGGCCTTGGTAGGCAGGTGAATGTCCAGAATGCGCTGATCCACATGTACTCAAGTTGTCTGGATGTTGTTGCAGCACGGAGATTGTTTGATAGTGGTGAGAGTTTGGACCACTTCTCCTGGAACTCGATGATTTCTGGCTATCTGAAGAATGGCCGCATCGAAGATGCAAAAGCATTATTCGGTGTGATGCCTGACAAGGACAACGTTTCCTGGAGTGCAATGATAGCTGGTTGTGTGCAAAATAACCAGTCATCTGAGGCGCTCACTGTTTTTGACAACATGAGAGCCCATGAAATAAAACCGGATGAAGTTACGTTTGTTAGTGTCATCTCTGCATGTACTAATTTGTCTGCTTTGGAGCAAGGGAAGTTAGTGCATGACTACATTAGGCAATACCAATATAACATCACTATCGTACTTGGGACTAGCCTCATTGACATGTACATGAAATGTGGATGCATGGAGGCTGCACTAGAAGTCTTCGACATGGTGGAAGAAAAAGGAACACCTTGCTGGAATGCTGTCATTGTGGGACTGGCCATGAATGGCCTTGTTACAAGATCCCTTGACATGTTCTCTGAGATGGAAACCTCTGGCATTGCTGTCCCCAATGAGATAACTTTCACTGGAGTTCTGAGTGCTTGCAGACATGGTGGCTTAGTTGAGGAGGGTCGTCAATTCTTCAAATTGATGCGGAACAAGTACCAGATTATACCAAACATCAGACACTATGGATGTATGGTTGATCTTCTTGGACGTGCTGGGTATGTCAGAGAGGCTGAGGACCTGATTCAGAGCATGCCCATGTCACCTGATGTTCCAGCATGGGGTGCATTGCTTGGTGCCTGTTGGAAGCACGGTGATAGTGAGGTCGGGGAAAGGGTTGGCAAGAAGCTTGTCAAGCTGGATCCTCATCATGATGGGTTCCAAACTATGTTATCTAACATATATGCTTCAGAGGGGATGTGGCAGTGTGTAAAGGACCTAAGGGGTTCCATGAAGCAACATGTAGCAAAAGTTGCAGGCTGTAGTGTGGTTGAATCATCACATTCTTCATGAGATTCTAGCATGTGATGGTATTAGAAAGCAGAATGCATAGAGTGTAAGTTGACATGTTAAACACTTTTCCCTATTATCATAATTGCAACATTCATCCTTTGAACATCCACCAAGTTCAGATAAAGCTTGCATCACTGCCTTCTCTTCCAAAAGCATAATAATTATTCATCTGACAATGAGCGAGGAGCAACACAATTCGTCAAGAGGTGGTTTTCTGTTGCAAAAAAAGATATGCACAGACTAATTACTTTTCTGTCTGAGGTATGTACTTGTTATGAAAAGATCAGTAATTGATTAGGAAGGGATAAGAATAAAAAAGGATTTTGTATGTAGGTTGTGGTTGGTTCATATATACTAATTTTCAAAAAAGTAGAAATGTTTTGGTCTAACTTGATATTATATATTTCAGTTGGAACTTTACACAAATTTGGGCTTAAGTTGACATGTTAAATGATTTTGAAACCTGACAGGCTAGACCCTCATGCTGCTGTAATTGACATGTGTATCCCTCCTATTTGGTGCCAAACATGTGTATTTATATGAAACTATAGCTTTTTGGTAATTTTCATTAAAATATATGGAGTTCTTGGAAATCTACTAATAGAAATAGCTATCAAATTAGAAACCAATTATTTAACTATTTGATTAAAGTATGTATCTAACAGATTAGTAAGTGACTGCAGTAATATTATGACTATACCTAGTCCAAAGTAATCTCAAAAGGCTTGAAAGTGTTGAGATAAATTGGGTGGGAGGCAACTTATATGGTTTTAGATATTTGAAATATTAAATTTTGGCATGCCAACTGAAAACCCTGTCGACACGGAATTTCGTCCCGTGCCGAGGGAACACGAGCAAGCCGAAAGGGTCCGCTCGATGGAGCTGAAGATCCACCTAGCTTCAGCGCAGGGGTGGTCGATCCTGCGCACTCCTCCCGAGACGTGCTAGTCAATTTGACCCTGCAATTGACAAGGAGAGAAAGTTTATCATTAATTTAGGGCGGAACATGCCGGTGTTGCCAGACAGTTCCGAATGTACGGCTTTGAGAGCCGATATGAAAGGAGATCGACTAAATAGTCGATTCCAGCATATTCATAAGAATAAATCAATTAAAGTTCGTGGGGTTGTGTAAGAAGAATCGATTATCGTTCAGGATTAATATCATTATCTAGACAAATATTGGTGAATGACAATAAGATGTCGACAATAATTAGTTTACGCTAAGCCAATGACTGCAAGTAACCGAACCCCTTTTTATATAAATGAAACAGCTCATCATCATTCAACCATTTAATAAAGATAAATCTAATGAACATATTAGATCTTATCTATCGCTATGACCAGTGGGGCATGAGGCAGAATCATGCAGGCCGTAGAAACAACAATAGACTCGACGACCCTAACTTATTACTAATACCAGTAGGGCATGAGGTAGAATCATGCAGGCCGTAATATAATAATAAGATCATGGGGCTAACACATCTTTTAACCTATCACTACTTCAACAGTCTCGTGACGTGAACTGTTCGTGAAAGCACTCGATATCGGCTAAAACAGTCGATTCAGTCATAGCGCACAGTTAAGGTCATGCCATCTCAGGAACAGATCTACCAAGTAACGATCCCCACTCCACGGTGCTAACAGTGGGGTGTGAGGCATAATCACACAGGCCGTGATAACGGGCCATGAAACGGTTTTCGCTAGCCAATAGATCTGCTCAAGATCAGACACGCCTTAACCGCACGCTATGCACAATCAAGATTGATATAAAATAGCCGATAAAACATAACTCATCGTTTAAAGTGTAAATTAGATCAATTTAGATTAGCAAACGATTGGTTAAAAAAGATATAAGGCCGATCTAAATCAATCTCAACCGGGCGAAGTGATATTGCTGTAATTAAATAAATACTGGAAGCAATAAGCAATATCGGTAACTTAATAAATCTATCCGAAGGAACGCCACCCTTAGATAGAGCTGATAACTTGACCTTAATCTAGTTCGAGCAGTGGAGGTCGACCGGATTGATGCAACCGTACTTGAACTAGACAAGAGCCGATAATTAGCTTATACTAGAGTCATAGTGGAGGTCGACCGGATCGATGCAGCCGTACGAATAGAGATATAAGTCATGACGGTACTTACAGACAAGCAGTGGAGGTCGACCGGATCGATGCAGCCGTACTTGCTGAAGAACTCGCCGAGATCTACTCTACTCCTACTCCTAAGGGGTGTCCGGAGCCAAAAAAAGTAAATAACTTGTATTTGATTGATTGTGTATCTTTTACAATAGCCGGTGTTTGATATTTATACTCGGGACCTACGCATGACTCCTATCTAAGCACAACTCACCATAATCTTTGGCCCTAAGAGAAAATATTCCTAATTTAAGATAACTTGGACTCTAATCTTTCTCTTTTTGTAGAGTTCAACATGCTTTGTCCCGGTGTCGATCGTAGTCTTTGTCGTTATCTGCTGGCGCTACCTGAAGAAAGCCAATTCTAGTGTTGCATTCGAATCAGCCGGTTCTAATCTACACGCAATTGATTCCTTGATGATATGATCTTGGGGAGCTTTCGAGTCCCATGCTCTTCTCCCAAATTTTGGTGTAAACACATGCCCCCTAATTTTGGGATAAAAATAATTTTATTCCAAAATTATCATGTCTGTACCCCCGATAGGTCCGCAGTCACGAGTAGAGAATCTTGATCTGGGGTCTACTGTTTGTCGCCGCCTATGTCAGCTCATGAGCCCATACTTCAAAATTTTTACGAGAGCATCGTTGCTTCACGGGCACTTAGATTCATCTTTTTAGGTCAGCTATAAAATGTCTATCCGACCCTGGCGAGAGCAACTCAACAATTCAATCATGCTTCTCTTCTATCTGCCTCCTCGAGTGCTTCTGACTCCGCCGGACCCTCCATGTTCTATCTTTTTGCTATGAAGATCTTGAGCGGTTAGAAGAATTCTTGTGCATAGGGTGATTGTGTCGCTCATCTTAGCACCTTGTCGAGCAAGAGAATCAGCTACTACGATTAGAAGAATCCTTGTGATATCGCCTGGGTCTTCTCTCCATGCTCGCAAAGCTATTCTAGTGTTTGTAAGGGCTAAAATGTGTGGACACCTTCCCCTTGTTTGCTCAATCAAATGCCCACTAGGAAAAGCCACAAGCTTCTTTCCAGCGGTTTCCCATTCACCGAGAAATCAGCTGGGCATCTGTTGGGCAGGCGGCCTTTCCCCTTCTCTGTCATAATTTTATTAACGGGCCGATGTGACTCGTTTTATGATAACTTTCGGCCCTGTGGGGATTCGAACTCCCTTCAATCCAAATAAACCTTGGTGGGCTGATTGCTGGTCAATGTAAATCTTTTGTATCCATCCCACGATATTCTGTAACTTGGAGAAGCAATAAGTCTGAATCTGTTATCTCCTCGTTATCTGTCCCCTGAATTTCTGGAGCATCGATCCGTTTCTGTATCTGATTTCAATTTCACACCCCCAGCGAAATCTATCTCCTCGCCTTCCTGGGCTATATATACGGGCCACGACTGGGGATCGAAAAATAACTCGCTTCGTCTCAAACCTTCTGCGTCCTTAGTATAGTTTCTGCTTTTTCGTAGGTTTGAGATCATGGAGAATAGCAAGAGGTTTGCTGAGGACGTCCTCAACGGACTTGCATCATCGCGTCAGCGCCTTCATCGTCAGGAGGGTACAACTCGTGATGCCTCCACTACCTCGGGGGATAAGGTAGACTCCGTTCGGCCTTTAGGGCCCTCTTCGTTAACAGCTCGTCGCCAGCTCCCTTGTTATCAAAGGAGGCGGATTGACAATGACGATATGCTTGCCTCCATTGATCGGCATGGCCAGGGTCTCGCTGAATGTCTCTCCCTCGCAGAATTGGCTATGGCCATGGTTCGATGTCGATCGCTTCCCGAGGCTGATTCGGTGGAGGATAGGTTGGCCAAGACCGAGGCCAGAATCATGGGTGAGATATCTATCATAACCTTTGCTTCCTTTTAATTTCATCCTCAAGATTCTGATCATTTCCCCTTTGAATCTTTTTAGATTTGTCTGCCCAACTGGAGAGCCTCCGATTGGCTGCGGAGCATGCGGTGGGATTCGTCAACGCTAGAGGCGCCGTCCCGGTGGTTCGCCTGCACGACATCCCGAAGCATGTTAGGGAGGTTGCTTTGCATGGCATTCGCCATGGTGCCGCCATGGCGTTGGCTTCTGCGCAAGCCCATTCTGGCCACGAACTTTGATTCCTTCCCATGGTTTTCCAACCGCGGCACACCCTGGGGATTATGAACGCCTAATTGAGGATTTCTTCTGTGCTGCTAACTCCGTAGCCTTTATCTCCTAGGCCAATGATATAGTAGCCAAAGTGTTTTCCATCCTGTAGTTTGTAATAGGTGATATTAGCAAATAATTTCTCCGCCTTGAGTGATTTTTTTTGTTTCGTACTTCATACTATATGCATCACTTTGTTCGTGTTTGCTTTGCTCTTCCGGGCGATACACATTGTACCGACTTTTACCCCTTTGGGTTTATTTTCGCACTAGAGGCGATACCCCTCTGGTATCGGCTATTAGAGCCAACAACCGAGCAAATTGGTTGTCAAGTATTAATCCAAACGTTAGGGTAATATTCCTTTAAATATTCCCCATTTGATTGCTCTACCGAATTCTTCTTCTCCTTTCAGTGTTTCCAAAATATAAGTATTACCAGGCGCACAACGCTTGATCCGATAAGGTCCTTCCCAACTAGGTGACCATTTGCCGAACTCGCTGTCCTTTGATCCAATTGGCAATTTTACTCTCCAGACCAAATCTCTTTTAGAAAATTGCTCATTCTTGACCTTTTAATTGTAATATTTTGCAATCCTCAGTTTATGGGCTTCAATGTTTTTCAAGAGCACGCAGCCAAAGGCAACTCAAGTCTTCTAAGTCATCTATCATAAGATTGTTGTAGACTTCGACTGATAAATCATTCGGCTCTT